ATGGAGCCACAAGCACCGGTTCAGTGGAGCTGCCTGCCACCTCCCACTGCTGTCTTTATCAGAGGCTGCAGCTCAGTGGGGAGAACAGGAGAGGCTGCTGCAGAGCAGCCTTTGCCCACGGCGGGCCCAGGCTTGCCACTGACAGAGACTGCTCTGTAGGATGTCAGTCCAGTCTCTCCGTATCGGAGGCAGCAGCATGGGGTGGCAGGCAGGAGACGGTCAGTGCAGGGAGATGGTCCCACCCCCGGAGACTATCAAATAATCGTGTAACCACTAAATTTTGATGCGGTTACTCAATTATTCAATTAACTGATACCTAATATCCCTAGTTAAAAGTGGTGTTGGATTGTAGAATAGACACACTAACTGGATTTTTATGCTAAAATGATTAGCAATATCAACATTAACTGTTTCACTTAAATTGTCATCTTTAAGTTTCAGTGTTAACTCATTAAGGTGAATGAAGTGGTTCAAACTTCTGTTTAAGGCTCTTTACAGACTCAAGAAGACAACTTTGTATTGGTTTACATTTGGTTGGCTTTAAGTTTTAAAATTCTAGTTTTTGTGGTAGCAATTACATTTTTTTTAAAATTAAGCATCTGGAGTGTAGTTCCATGTCTGGATTTTGCGTAATATTCTGAGCTTTGTCCATAGGTAATGTCCATGATGGTTTAAATTTGATTTCATATTGGAGTAGAATTGTAAAATCATTAACACATTGGTCATTTCAACCGGTATTAATCTTACTACTTATGTTTCTCTTTGTTCTTGCCTCCTCCCTGCACTCCATTATGACACATCACATGCAACTTACTTTGCCAAGATTTACAAAAGTGTCTAATGATTTTGGTTGTCTCAATTTTAGTGTTACCAACATGAAGCAGTTTAAAGGGACTTGATTTTCAGAAAGTACTGGGCATTCATTCTTTGAAAATCGAATATTTTTACAGTGTGCCAGATTGGACACCCAAACTCACTTACAATTTTTAAAAATCCTGATCTAAAGATGAGTGTTTTGTTTAGCCATTTCCACTCAAATGTATTTTTAAAAGTAAGTGTATATCCATCTGATAAGAATCTCTTCTAAGCAGTTCATGAGAAAGGCATGGCATGAGAAAGGTACGATAGTTGTTTTGCTGTGTAAGGATTAATTAGAAATTATATACCAGGCACCACCCCGTTTTTGGATTTCTAGAAGTTACAGTGGTTTACTTGCCTTTACCAGAGTAGTGCAAACTAATGGTTCTTATTAGCCTCTTGTAACTTTTTAGTCTTTGAGATGCTACTAGACTTAATTGTTGTTTCTTAAGTTTTTCCTGTTACAGACTCACTCAGCTATCCCTCTGAAGGTTATCTACTCGCTGTCCTTTTTTTCTCCCCCTCCCCCCTTATTTATTCTTGGATTTACACTTCCAACACTCCGGTCATCTGAAGAAGTGGATTGTGCCCATGAAAGCTCATGATACCATCTACATGTTTTGTTAGTCTTTAAAGTGCTACTAGACTATTTATTGTTTTTAAGTTTTTCCTGTTACAGAGTAACTCGGCTACCCCCTGATATTTATATAGTATGTCAAATGGCTCTTGCGTCCTATCTCCTGTACCTTGAGTATCTTGATAGATTAAAAAACAAAGGACACATATTTCCAGCATCCCAGAAGTGCACGTATGATGTTATAATCCTATTTCATTTCCCCTTCCCCCTTTCCTCCAGTATTGTTACTTGAAAAGGTGGAAAATGGAGACCTGAGCAACAAGATATTGAAGATCACGGATTTCGGCTTGGCCAGAGAATGGCATAAAACCACCAAAATGAGTGCAGCTGGAACATATGCCTGGATGGCTCCTGAGGTCATCCGCTCCTCCATGTTCTCCAAAGGCAGCGATGTGTGGAGGTATTGATTTGTCCCTGAGTGGTTGGATACTAAATGTTTAAGTGCTGGGGACTGCCTGGCAATCTACTGTTTGCTTACAGGGGGGACTCACGTCTGGGGCAGGTGGTTGGGTGTAGGAGGAGGTTCAGGGTTGGCACAGGGATTCAGGAAGCAGGCTCTGGCTGGGCACCATTTAACATGACTTCCAGGTAGTAGAGCAGTGAAGTTAAGACAGGATTACTCCAGCCCTGGCCCTGCACCACTGCTAAAAGCAGCTGGCATGTATAGCAGTGGCTCCATGGCGCCATGTGCTGCCCCACATCTACAGACACTAAGCCTACAGCTTTTATTGGCCATGATACCCCATTATTGATCAATGGGAGCTGCAGGAGTGGTGTCTGCAGGCAAGGAGGCTGCAGGGACATATCAGCCACTTCCAGGAGCAGCAGTTACCACAGGGATAATGACTCCAGCCACGACGGGATAGGCATTTTAGAACTCACTACTCAAAGAATTCAATTTAAGTGTAAGAAAGGAATGGAAATTATGAAATGCACAGAGCAGTCAAAAACCAAAAATAACCCACTTTGCAAGCAGTAAAAGAAGTAGCAACAATCCCCCACATATGTATGGAGTCGGAAGATGAGAGTGAAGGACTATGTGTGTTTGTGAGAGTGACAGACACACACATTGTGTGAGAGTGACAGAGATTTGCATCGCCAAGCTCCCTCCATCCCCTTCTCTCAGTGTGGAGATGGGTTACCGAAGTGAGGGGGGAGGAGAAAAATCCTGAGATCAGTGCCCCCCCTTCTCCCTTCTAAACCCTGCAGTGCAAGCAAGAGGCCCCCAGTGGGGCAGCTCCAAGGCACAGGGCACAAGCAGCATGACAGTGGGGGGATGAGCAACAGAAGTGCCAGCACTAGATAGCTTCCTGGACAATCCAGTCAGGCTCATCTGTCAGAGGCTCCAAGAACTACTGGTAGATCCTAATCTACTGGTTGGTGACCATGGCCCTAGTTAGGCTTGCTGGTAAGTGCTAGATTTGCACTTATCTAGCATGCCTGCCTTACTATTAACACTTATTCTTTATGTTGCAGTAGAGCATGGGGCTCTAGTCATAGATGATGAGTTGATGGTAGCAGTTCCTATCCCAATGGATGGGTACTTCTCTCAGGTCCAGCCACTATCTCAAAATCACTAATTAACCTCTTTGTTTGCAGTCTTAGCAGAATAGCCAAGAAGTCAATAGTGTATCTTTAAAATTCCTTTTCATTAACACTTATTCTTTATGTTGCAGTAGAGCATGGGGCTCTAGTCATAGATGATGAGTTGATGGTAGCAGTTCCTATCCCAATGGATGGGTACTTCTCTCAGGTCCAGCCACTATCTCAAAATCACTAATTAACCTCTTTGTTTGCAGTCTTAGCAGAATAGCCAAGAAGTCAATAGTGTATCTTTAAAATTCCTTTTCAGCCTCAGTGTTGGTCCCTCCAGGTGAAAGCTAGTGCTGCATGCGATACCTGTTCTGAGCATAAAGTCTCCCAGGGTCTCAGTCCAGTACTATTCACCAGCACTAATATATCATCAATATTTTTAAAAAATGAAGTGAGATTTCATTCTTGATAGACATTGATTTCTCAGTGGGTCATACATTGGGGAGGTGAAGAAACTAGACTGGGGGTTGTATTTTTTTTGATCCCCTGTCTGCTTTTGCTGTCAGTTTGGGGGAGGGAATTCCTTTTTCATTTTAAATGCAGACTCTTGGGGGAGGCAGAGATGGGAAACAGGGCACTATTGACATTTAAAAATAAAAACCAGAGAAGAAATTAAAACCTTTGAATAAATTCGGAGTTGCTACAGGGGAAGGTGGCGGTACTACCCAGCCCCTCTGACTCTCTCATAACCCACTGAGTAGGATTGAACCTGATGTTAAATGGCTTAAAGGATTACTGGATCACTAGGAGATGATTAATTATTCATGCAAGTGTTGGTTCACTTGGGTGTACAGCCAGTATCATGTGGTTCCTGTTTTAATTAAGCCAAACAATACTACAGAATGCTGTAAAAAGATCAGGACCTCATCTGCTCTCATCCTTAATGGGGCTTGGGCCCCCCTCCTGATGGTTTTTCTTTTGAGTGTTTTAATCTCTTCCACCCTCCGGTTTCTGTTTTGTGACCACCATCGTTCTGCTTGAAGAGAGGCTGAAAGACAGACACTGTGTTTAATGTTTGTCAATATTGCTTCTTAATTTGTTGGAAAAGTGCAGCCTTCTATCACCATTTGGGGCTGAGAATGTTGTCTCCAGAGAATTCTGAGAACTCTGTGGAGATGGCGACAGGGTTGGGAGCAGGAATCAAAACTGTATCTCCTGAAAGCATTTAAATTCAGCATGGGATTGCTAGAATCCCGTATTTGCCTATCTTCTCTGCTTCTTGAAATTTCCCAGCAGAGGTAGTATCATGTTCATAATGCTTGCTCAACAGCTCTGGTAGGAGCAACTGCTGGAGAGTGATACTTTTTGATGGGAATTTTACTCTGTTGCTACTCCTGGATGAGGAAGAAAGATCTATGTGCAGACTAGCTTATGTGATCTGTTGCTGGAGCTGCTCCTTAAGGGAAACAAGAGGGCCAGACTACTTTTTGTATTAAGAGGCTCAATGGGACATTGTCTCTTTTAAACCTCTGCATATGTCTTATAAAACTGAGTGACATGACATAGTAGTATATGGTATGTTGGGCTGTGATATGGCTTCTCGCTATATTATGTCACATCAGTTGCTAAGTCAGAAGCAGGATATGATTCATATTCCAACTTCACATCACTTAAACATTTCCCTTCTGGCTTAAATTGGATTTGATGCTTTCTTCCCTTCATTTATGTTGGTGACAGTGCTAAATGGCTGCTCTCTTTCACTCTAGAGATATTTTAGTAATAGATGAAGTAATAGATATAATTTGAAAAATGCTTTGGGATGCTTCTGAATGAATGTTAAATAAATATTACATTGTGAAGGACATAGCAGTTTATGTTCAGTATATCACATGCTCTGTAGCAGTGTTTATTAAACTGTGTTTCAGGGAACACCGGTGTGCCGCGGAGAACAACAGAGTTAAAAATGGCCACTTTTGTTTTCTCAACAAAAAATCCTTGGTGTTCCTCATAAAAAAATTGTTTGGTGTTCCTCGGTCTTAAAAAGTTTAAGAAACGCTGCTCTGTAGTGTCACTGATGGAACACACAGCACATCTGAGTGTCAGCGTGTCCAGTGTCAGCGTGTCCAGTACAGACACATCTACCTGGTTCAAGAAATTTCAGGTTTTTCCAAACACGGATCCCTGTTTGCCTGAGGATAAAGTCTGGGATGGTGTTTCACTGCAAAGCATTTCCTTAACCATAGGATGGGGGAAAAAAACCTCTAACAGCTCAGTTTCCATAAATGAACTTGCTGCATCAAACATTGGTTAACTGTCACCCCTGCAGGCAAAAGTGCCTCTGTTGGGAGTGCTTTTTCTTGTGATACCATTATAGACTATGGTGAATGTTCAAAACCCAGCACAGTTGCCATTAAATCAGATTTGTCAGACCATCTGTGACAAGATCCTTTTACCACAATGGTGCCTCCTGCTGGTCATCAGAGGGATTGGTTCTGACAACCAGCGTAACTTCAGCAGGTGATGCCTCCCTCTCCCCCCATCATCTTTGCGTGCAAACCCCCTTCCATCCAAGAACCTCAGCATCATTTTTGTGACTCGGCCCTCTGTTTGAGTCACCATCCATATTTCTCCATTGCAGGGATGGGTACTATTTTTCAGTAGTCAAGCCATTTTCCCACATGTGAATGGAAGGATCTGGGCTTGCCCACTACCCTGTGTCCTGACCCAGGGACCCTGCAGATAGAAGCCTCCTGATCTGTCTCCTTAACTTCCTTCAAGGCTACTTCAATTCCCTTGGCTGTTTTCCTACAGCCCTACTACGTTCTTCTCAGGGTATTCAGCTATCAAGTTCCAACAGTCAGCCAGAAGCTCCAACTTGCTCTCCTGGTCCCTGCTAGCAACTGCTGAGTCCAAGTTGCTATCTTTGCTGCAGCTAGGGTTGCTAACTATAATAGTACAAAACCAAGCACTTTGCCCCACCTCTTCTCTGAGACCACGACCTCTTCCCCAAGGCCATGCCTCCTATTCACTACATTCCTCCTCTCTTGGGGTGGCTTGCTCTTCCAGATCCTCACTCAAATTCCCTGGGATGGAACAGGTTGTGGGAAGGGGTGAGGGCTCTGGCTGAGAGTGCTGGCTCTGCAGTGGGTCCAGGGATGAGATATTTGGGGTGCAGGAGGGACCTCTGGAGTGTGGGACTTAGGGATTCAAAGTGTAGGGAGGACTATGTATTGTGGGAGGGGGTAAAAGCTCTGGGGTAGGGCCAGGGATGAGTGGTTCACAGTGTGGGGGGAGGGGCTCTGGGCTAGGGCAGGATTTTGAGATGCAGGGGTGTGAGGTCTCTGGGGTGAGTCTAGCAATGAGTGGTTTCAGGTGCAGGAAAGGACTCTGGGCTGGGGAAGCAGGGCTAGGGCTGGAGGGGTTCAGGCTCAAGCTTGGGGTATGGGCTTACCTCCAAGCTGCTCCCAGTTGGTGGTGTTGTAGAGCTAAGGCAGGCTCTCTGTCTATCCTTGCTCTGTCCTGCACCCCAGAAGTCGCTAGCAGTTCTGGCACCTAGGCAAGGTGGTGGGGTTCGGAGGCTCCACATGCTGCTCTCTCTTATGCTCCCCCGCTCCTATTGGCCATTTCCTGGCCAATGGAAGTGCTGAGCTGGTGTTTGGGGCAGAAGCAGCGCATGGAGCCATGTTTCCCACCCCAAGCCTATGAGCTGGAACTTTTGGATGCTTTGCAGACACAGCATAGTGCAAGCATTGGTGGGAATTAGTCAGCCTTAGCCCTGCAGCATGGCCATCCAGACTTTTAATGGCCTGATTGGTAGTGCTGACCAGAGCTGCCAGGGACCCCTTTCGACCAAGCGTTCTGGTCAAAAACTGAACACCTGGTCAACCTAGTTGCAGCCTTCTCGAAGCACAGTTCTCACTCGTTGGGCTCCCCACAGACTCTCACCTGGCTCTGCCCTGCTCTCCTTGTGTATTAGTTGTCTGGGCCCTGACTGGCTGTTCCATGCAGCCTCCACCCAATTGACTGCTTTCTATGCAACTTCTCTAGGCTGCTAGGAAGACTCACCTCCCCTGCTCCTTTTTGGGAAAGTGTGGCAGGTCCCTAAGGCTGCCATTAACTCCTTCAACTTTGGTATATGATGAACACTCCATCACATCCCCGCAGGTCTGCCAACTCTATTTTTTTTCTCCTTTTTTCTGCTATATTGCTGTTTCTACCACTAGACCATCTGTTTCCCCTCTGATACTTGTCTCAAGGTTCATTGCAGAGGGGTTTCTTAGGAAATTAGAAAATCATGTGTGTTTAACAGCAACAAGAAAGGCAGAGCACTATAGTGTTCATAAAATCATCTTCTGTATCCCTAACTTTTTTAATAATTTAAATTATCCAGGTGTAGATTACCCAGACTCTCTCATAAGATTTAATTCTAAGGTTGGAATTTGTTAGGCTTACTACTAGGGATCACGTTGACATTTTTGTCAGGAAGCAAACATTCCTTGTAAGGAAAAAATAGTAATGCCTTTTTATAAAATTCCAAACTCAGGTTGGAGACTTTCAGATGTCATTTTTAGTTTCTAGGAACACAGTACTGTTAAAAACTTCTTGATTTTCTACATTATCTTTTGGAAATTTTCAGAGTTAATGAAATCCTTAAATTAGAGCAGTACTAATAGGTATTCCTTCTTCCCATTTTTGGCACACTCGGCCATGAAAAAGAGAATAGGACTAACATTGAAAGTATGTTATATCAGTGATTGGTTATGTTTAGATTTATACACCTATACTTATACACCTAGCTTACCCTCTGCTCCTCTCAAACACAACCAGCTTTCTACATTGCACTTTTGTTGTAGCAGAACTTTAAATGGAGTGCCATCCGGTTCTGAAGTTTTGTACTTGAAAGTTATATGAAATTTATGCAAAAATATAATTTGTCAGGCTTGATACTTCTCCTCCACAAGTTAGGCTGTTTGGTGGGTTATGCCACTAACACCCCTTTTTAAAGTCCCTTCTACCTCTTCAGTACTCAAGTACTTTGCAGCAGTGGTATAACAAAAGGTATTTATTTCTGGAGGACCACATTTAATCATTGATAGTCCATGTTAAATTGCCACAGAACTTACTTCTACAGGTGTGTAAACTAGAATCATCAGAATGATCACAAAGACCATAAATTGGTCTGTCTTCAAAACAAAAGGTAAAGCCTAGTCATTTCTTTAATCTTGCCATCCCAAATCAATAAAAGCATATTAAAGTTATTCCCTTTTAAGGGATGGAAAAGTGTAGAAACCCATCAAGGTGTGAGTAATTTGGAATTTAAGATACTTGAAAACTACAATAATAAGCATAATAAAAACACTTGGAAGACTAAATTCTATCTAAAGAAAAGATTTCCAATCTTTGTACAGATCCACATAGACTGTTTTGCCACATGCTCTTTAAAAATAGTTTAGAAGGGAGAATTAAGAAACGCTTTTTTTAAATTGTGCAAGGATTTACTGCTCAAAATGAAAATGGTAAACTATTTGTTTTTGAAGCGTTAAACCCAAATTGTTGTGATGTTGACTGTGCTCTCATAACTCTTGACAAATTAGGAACCTTGTCACATCCTAAGGGGGAAAAAGAGTTTTCCGAAACAGGAATTCAGGAGGAAAGAGGATGCAGAGATTTATATTGGCTAAGCAGCCCACAAAAGCAGATGGTCTGTCTGCGGACATACTTCTATTAGTCCATTTAAATTTTTTCTTTGTAAGAGTTATTTTTAAATGTTGTATTTATTTAGAAACATTTCTCCAGAGCTCAGTTTTATTCTCCCACACCTCACTTCCCTCAGTCCTTTATTCTCAAGCTGAGGTGTCTGCTGAGAAAAGCCTCTCCACGTCTCCCTGGTCTGCTGGGGGGGCGCGCTAGCTTCGCGTCTCCCTGGTTTGCTGGGGGGAAGCAGCTAGTGCAGGGATGCCTCACCCCGTTTGTAAGTAGGGATCCGATGTAAGTCGGATCCATGTAACCCGGGGACTGCCTGTACTTCTATTAGTCTATTTAAATTTTTTCTTTGTAAGAGTTATTTTTAAATGTTGTATTTATTTAGTGTCCTTTATGTGTGAGATAGTCTTGATAAATCAGAGCCTCGTGCCCTGTTTTGGCTTGAGATTTATTTAATGTGTTTGTTATAGCCAAATATACACTTTTCTGTCTCTTTTCCAATAGTTATGGTGTATTGCTTTGGGAACTATTAACTGGGGAGGTACCATTCCGAGGAATTGATGGTTTAGCAGTAGCATATGGAGTTGCCATGAATAAACTTGCCCTTCCAATCCCGTCCACGTGCCCAGAACCTTTTGCCAAACTCATGGAAGGTAAGAGCTAACTGCAGTGAGAGAGAAATGTTTGTCTTTTTCTTGAGTGCTTTTGAAGTGTGTCAGTTTTTGTAGATTTCAGTAGCTGAGACCCCAGAATTAAATGGCTTTACTCAGTGGACCATGTTATTATAGAAACCAGACGGTCTGCTATGACAGTTACTGTATTATAAGATCTTTATGCTGCAGAAATAAAACCTTTGTGAAGAGTAGAAGGGGACATTCTTGTCATTGTACAGCCTTGATTATGGGTGATGACCTTACCCCAAACCCCATATCCAAGTACCATCACGTTTGGGGTATTTGAATTCTAAGTCTGTTGAATTCTGCAGCTTGAGCCTATTGCTAGCTAATACTATTCTATATAATCATAATGATTTAGTGTAGAGGTCTTCAATCTGTAGGGGACTTCAAGGGTCTATCAAACCAGAGAGCAGGGTCAATGTTAGACTCGCTGAGGCCTAAGGCTGAAGCCTGAGCCCCATCACCCTGGGGCCAAAGTTTGATCAACTTAGCTCTGTGGGCCTCCCTGTGTAGTAGTGCCCCAGCCATTTGCCTTGCTTGCTATCCCCAATGCCAGGTCTAATGCCCCCTAGGGGGCCTCAGAGTAACATTCAGGGGCACAGTTGGAACTGAAACAGCCCCCACAGGGGGGCAGGAAGAGAGCACTGCCAAGCTTTGATCTTTGCTCTGGCCCCACACTGACTGTGGCTACTGCCCTTGTGCCCAAGGACCTGACTGCCTGCCTGAGGCTCTGCACCCATCCACAGCTGCAGGCCTCCTCCCCTGCCAAGGGTCTGCTCCTGTCCATGGTCCCAGATATGGCATCAGCCTTAGCCCCCTTGCCGCATCCGCATCCCCCCCACTACCCCCTCCTGGAGCCCTGGCTCCACTGCTAGCTCTGGGGATGGGGGTGGGGCGGGGCATGGACAGAAGTAAGGGAGGATACAAAGTAAAAAGTTTGGGGACCACTGGTCTGATGCAGGGGCTCCCAACCTTTTTCTTTCTGAGACCTCTCCAACATGTTATAAAAAGTCTGATGGATTCTCTGGCTATTTTAACTCTGTAAATATCCCCTGAGTCATCTATTTCAATCAAATTCTTAATTTTTATCAAAATATGTATCTAGAATTCTAAACGAATGCTTATCACTCCTATACTATGCCTTATAGCTGAGGCTCTCAGTGCTGTACAGTCATTCAAGAATTAAACCTCACAACCCTCCTGTGAGTCTGGTATATGTATCTAGAATTCTAAACGAATGCTCATCACTCCTATACTGTGCCTTATAGCTGAGGCTCTCTGTGCTGTACAGTCATTCAGGAATTAGACCTCACAACCCTCCTGTGAGTCTGGTAGTACAGGCAGTCCCCAACTTACGCGGATCCGACTTACGTCGGATCCGCACTTACGAACGGGG